TACAGGTGTGTGCCACCATGCCCAGCTAATTTTTGTATTTTTAGTAGAGACGGGGTTTCACCATGTTGACCAGGATGGTCTCGATCTCTTGACCTCGTGATCCACCCGCCTTGGCCTCCCAAAGTGCTGGGATTACAGGCGTGAGCCACCGCGCCCGGCCCAGAAGTAGATTCTTGATATTAGTTCTCTCTGGTTAAAATGTTTTTAAAAATGAAAGGGAATGACTACTAACAAAAACACAGAAAATTATAAGGGTTGGTGAAGACGTGGAGACTCTGAAATGCTTGTGCACCATTGGTGGGAATGTGAAATGATGCAGCCCTATGGAAAATTGTACAGCTGTTCCTTCAGACATCAAAAATAGGGGTGGGAGTGGTGGCTCAAATCTGTAATCCTGGCCCTCTGGGAGGCTGAGGCGGGTGGATTGCTGAAGTTCAGGAGTTTGAGATCAGCCTGGGCAACATAGTGAGACCTTGTCTCTACTAAACACACAAAAAATCCGCCGGGTGTGGTGGCATGTGCCTGTAATTCCAGCTAATCAGGAGGCTGAGGCAAGAGGATCGCTTGAGCTCAGAAGATCAGGGCTGTAATGAGCTATGATTGTGCCACTGCACTGCAGCCGGGGTGACAGAATGAGACCCTGTCTCAAAACACAAACAAACAAAAATTAGAATTATAGAATTACCACCGGGCATGGTGGCTCATGCCTGTAATCCCAGCACTTTGGGAGTCCAAGGCAGGCAGATCACCTGAGGTCGGGGGTTCAAGACCAGCCTGACCAACATGAAGAAACCCCATCTCTACTAAAAAAAACAACAACAACAACAAAATTAGTTGGATGTGGTGGTGCATGCCTGTAATCCCAGCTACTCAGGAGGCTGAGGCAGGAGAATCACTTGAACCCGGGAGGTGAAGGTTGCAGTGAGCCAAGATCACGCCATTGCACTCCAGCCTGAGTGACAGAGAAAGACTCTACATCAAAAAATAAAAATAAAAAGAGAAATATTATTCTTATATAATTAATAAAATGGGCTTTATTAACATAACTTGATATTGCAAGGCTTCCTAATAAATGACTGTAATTCACATAAAATTGTGAATTTACATAAAAGTATGGGGAGGCTAGCCGGGCGTGGTGGCTCAAGCCTGTAATCCCAGCACTTTGGGAGGCCGAGGTGGGTGGATCATGAGGTCAAGAGATTGAGACCATC